ATGAAATGATTTCCAATACATGTTTAAAAAAAAAAGGAGAAGAAAATCACAGAATAATATAGTATGAGTCCAATAAAGGGTAAAACAAAATTATACATTATTCATGGGTACACATGTGGTGAAGCTGTAAGGAAATACAGGAAATGATTAGCATAGAATTCAGGATTATCTCACAGGAGTTTTAGAACTTACTAGTGATCTGTTTTTACTCTAGATTGTTGGTATTTGAGGATTCACTTGCTTATTCTCTAAAATTTATGTACATGTTACATGAACTCTTGTCTACATAGCTCACAATTTTTAAAAATTAAGAATTTTGTTTAACACAGACCTGAGGTAAAGTTAGAACTAAATATATGTTAGCTAATGTTTTACATTACGCTTGTTTATTAAACACATTTATTAAGCACCATCTGGGGGCAGGCTCTGTGATAAGCACCAGGGTTTTAAAAGCTCACTGAGATGTGCTTTGTCGTTGAATTCCTTGTTCTGCACAGAGATAATCACGCATTTTAAGTAAATACAATGTAGTTTGATAGGGTGCTTGTGCTTTTAGAGGAAAAAATCAACTAACATCATTCTTTATGACAGCCACATGTATGTACTTGAGGTTGAAGAGGCTGAGACACAGAAAAAAAGTTTTAAAACAACCATACATTTTTCATTCTTTGATGATCATAATGACTGGGTTAAATTAATTAGCTATTTGACTAAGATGCAAAACTGTGTTATAGGATGGGGACATCAACAAAAATGTTTGGGTTAAAGAATTCTAAAATTCTGCTTTTCCCTAAAAGAAACAATCAAATGCCTCCAAAAACTGTCAAAATCAACTATTTCCGAACTCTCGAAACTAAAAGCTCACTGCGGTCTGATTATGCATATTAAAAAAAAAACAGGCTGAGTCTTGGTGAGAACAGCATGCTTTGTGCTACTTTAACTTAAGCTAGTCTTATACTTTGCTCCCAAATGCAGCGGTAGCCTTGTAAATAACGCCCACATTGCTGGTACTGGAGAAAGCAGACGGGCCGATTTTGTGAAGATTTCCCTTATTTGACCTGTTTCATGTCTTCTTGGAAGACCCATTTGAAAACCTTATTTTTATTTTGCATAACTTGGAACTTGCCCAGTACCGAAGCCACTACCCAGGGGGAGGGGCCAGTCAGGGGGAGGCCATTTCCTTGCTGCCTGGATTTGGGACCAATGATAGACTAAGGTAAAAGCTTGGGAAGAAAGGTTAGAAATGAGGTTCTTATAAGGGTTTTGAAAAACTCTGACATGTTCTTGGCGATCTAGAAGGCTAAGCACATGCCTGGGACTGTGCATGCTTAGGAAAGACCAGAAAGACCCTAAGTGCCCACGTCTGGCTGACCTTGAGTCTTTGTGCAAGCAGGAGGTAAAGGCTGAAGGAAAGTTAGAAGCTGCCTCGCTGGAGGTTGAAGGTATGGCCTGACACTCACACAGAAAATCTCAGCAAAGGGGAGATTTTGGTTCCAGGCATTTAAGGAAACCTCTGTCCAAGCATTAGCTGACAACTAAGCTAATGGACCACTTTAACTGGTCACACACAACAAAGTATAGATTTTACAGAATTAGTTTAGAGAAGTTACTGAAACACTCACAATAAAAATCACAGAAAGCAGCACCAACAGCAAACTGTGGGATGGGGTGAGAAAATCTGACTTCCCAGCACATCAGAATGGGCACATAATACTAAAAATGTCCACTTTTTAAGAAAAAATTGGCAAGTTCCTCAAAGTATGGACAATACATAGAAGGAAAAAAAACAAAGCAGTCAGTAGAAGCTGTCCCTGAGGAAGCCCAGGTGTTGGACTTCCTAGACAGGTTTTAAAACAGCTCTTCTAAATATGTTCAAGGACTGAAATTATGAGAACATTATCTCACCAAATAGAGAACATCACTAAAGCAGAAATTTCAAAAATTTTTATAAAGTTATAATCATAAAAATTACTAAGTTATTTTATAAAAATTGTATAAAGTTTTCTGGAGTTGTAAAGTATAATAACGGAAACTTAAAGTTCTGTAGGAGTTCAGCAGCAGGTTCAAGCAGGCAGGAAAAGGAATCAGCAAATTTGAAGACAGGTCAGTTGAGATTATCCAGTTTGAAGAACAGAAAGAAAAAGAATGAAAGAAAATAAACAGAACCTCAGAGACCTTTGGGGTATTATCAACAATCACACAAGTCTCGGAATAGAGGGGGAGAAAGAGGCCAAAAGAATATTTAAAGATACTTTACAAATTTGATGGAAAATTTCATATACACACTCAAGAAATTCATTAAGCTCTATGTTGGATAAACTCAGAGATACACACTGAGACACATCACAATCAAAAGCCAAAGACTAAGCGAACCTTGAAAGCAACAAGAGAGAGAACTCGTTATTTGTTAAGTATTCCTCAGTGAGAATAACTTAATCTGTTTTCTCGTCAAGCTGTAGAGGCCAGAAAGCACTGGATGACATTCTAAACAATGGAAGAATGACTGTTAAGTTAGAATTCTAT